TTCCGAATTCCTCAGTCTTGCCCTCGTGCCCAATCCACTTTAGCAAGTGCTTCCATGTTATATTCGTTGAGTTATTTACCAGATGAAAGACACTTGCTTCATGTGGGGATGGGAGTGGTTGTAGAGGCTCCCAGTAAGTCTTTTGACAAGCGATTTCAATCACAGCTGCAGCTGCAATATTGACCGGAAGCCAGGAAAGTGGAATGTCGAGTTCTGGGAGAGAATTTAGACAATCAGGGCCCCCAGTGCTTAGCATCAGTGGCCATGCTTCCTTTTCGTTCCAGCTTCCATTGAAAGTGTTTCCTGATAGTTGACCAATTCTCACAATACTAATATTTGCTCTTGTCATTTTACATGCTGAAGAGCAGATCGCTTCAGCAACCCACTTACTCTTCGAGTAACCCAATGGACCAGCATCCAAAGGATTGTGATTTATATTTTCTATAATTTTGAAGTCCTCCTCCTCAAATATTTTAGTGTTAGCGACGCTTGCAGTAGATGAACAGAAGACAAGGTGTTTCGGTGCTTCCCCAGATAGGGAGAAATTTATCAAGTTGCGAAGTCCTTGAAACTGCTCGGTGAAATCTTTCAAGGGAATGGAGAAATTAACCTCCCAGGCTGCCTGTAATCTAGTATCAGTATGTGTCAATCATGATTGTTAACCGGGGAAAATTACATGAATGATTGTGGTAGCATTTTGACGAAGATCTTCCAATACGTGTCTTGAAAGGCCTAACTCAATTTGATCTAATTTCACAGCTCTGCACTCTATATTTTGGGCAGTGGATTCCAAGTTTTCGGGATAATGAGACTGCAACGCCCATTCTACTCTCTCACGAGCTTGTTCGTCATTTTTGGCTCGAACGAAGCAAACAATCCGAAGTGCCTCATGACTTGTAGTCATATATTGCAACAATTCGACTATGTTCATACCAAGAGTACCAGTGACTCCAGTTACAATCTATGTTATTTGTTAAAACATTCTTCTTAGAGGCGTTGGGTATGCTATATACACCGATTGATTAAATACTTACTATAGTTTCTTTGTCAGGTTTGTTACATGATTCTGTTTTGTCCTTGAACGATTTATTAAAGTGTTCAACCATACTGTTCATCTGATGCGCTTCGTCCTTCTCATTCTCGGTAATGGATCCATTCTGAGAGGCTTTGATATATTCGGTAAGCCTAGTTCACGTTGTCAGTCTTTCACTGCAGTAGAAAAATTCTACCATCTCGGAGTCTTGGGATATGAGAAAACATTTGACAAAATCAATGTCTGGTATCATTGATGATCGAGTACTTACGCTGTGACGCTACCACATTGGTAGACTAAATTCCAAGGAAAGGGTTTAGACCCGCGAAGGAATGCCTGCAAATTCATCAGCGTGAAAATATTAAGCTCAAAAATGAAATTTAGTTACCAAATTGAGATATGATCGAATTCGCGTAGCCTGAATAGAGTCGATGTGATGAGCTCGAAAGTCAGAGTCGTATTTCAGGTCTATTGGAGCGCCAATGGCTGTTTTGACAACTTCCATTACACTTTCTAATGAGACTTCACTGTTGAGCGCTGACGCATCGCCATCATAAGCACTTTTGATATCGCAATCATAGTGCATGTTGGCACTTTGCCTCTTTGTAGTTCCCTTGGCGGTCTTCTCCAAAGATTCGGTGTGTGGTTTTAAGACTAACATGTCTTTGTAGATTTTTGCATGGGGTGGAACCATTTTGTTCACGTCCTCGACATACGGCCAAATCATGTCCCTGAATTCATCATCGCTGAAATTACTTGTAGCATTCTGAGATTTGATAATTATCACTCCAGGGTACATTTGTCCATTTCCGAAGACAAACGCATCTTTTATATCTGGAAACCTCTTCAATGATTCTTCAGTGTAAATAGGATCGAATTTTTTGCCAGTCGAAAGAGTGATTTGGGCATCACCTCTACCAACATGTTTCCATGCATTTTTTATAGAAGGATGTGGCTCAAATAAATCACTTGTTGCGAAGCATCCATCCTCTCGATTTGCCTTGGGAAATTGTGGCCAGTCACTCATGACCACCAGTTCAAATCTATTAGAACCATCATTTAGCGGTTCAAACTTGATGGAATTAACACCTTCCGGAGCTCTGAAATATTGCCACTCTTTGTCGGTTTTGTAATTTCGGTGGGTCGAGAGAAGAAATGAGCACTCTGCACTACCATAACGGGAAACAAGATTGATTCCTTCGGAGATAAGCAGTTTTCCGTCTTCTTCTGGCAAACTAGCGCCGCCTACACCCACAAGATCCATGGTACGAAGAAATTCAAGTCCTCTAGATGTCGTGGAAAGCATTTGTGCTATCGTCGGAACACATGAGAAGTATATTGATTTTGGAATTCGATTGGACAATCTAAGCGTAAGCGATTTTGATCTGGGTCGTGTTCCGAACTCGTGCGCTCTATGTATAGATGATTCATACTTCTCTTTTATTTGCGAGAAACAATTAATAATTGTCTCCGAGGTAAGTGGGTGTTGGCCATCAGGGGCAAGACATATAGTTGATAAACTTGTCCAAGCACGCAAACAATCTGCAATACCGCCGGTGTATAGAGGTGTTGTGGTAAAGGACAATGTTCCGCGACCATCCAAAATTGGGAGAACTCCGCATGCAACATGGTGAGTGTAGGGAACGGGCTTTGGAAGGCCAGAGGTGCCAGAGGTATGATGATTGTAAGCTGGACTTTTACCCGTGACCTTATACGCTGGAATGAGTGATGGAATTCTCTCGACATATGAACTTAATTCCATAGTAGATTTCCTTGAATACCCCCGCATCTGAAGTGGAGTGTTGCATGAGATCTTCTCGAGTTTCTGGATTTCCACATATTGTTGTACGAGGTCAAAGTCGTAAAATACAACATCAATATCGCATTGTTTGCAAAGATGTTGGACAGCTTCCGCGCTCAGTGATGGCCTATATTGTGTCAGTATAAACGGATGATATCGATTCCAGAATCCAATTCATCGTTTGATGGTTTAACTCTTCAACGAAATTTTGAAATTTGAAACTTCCATCCAGTCTGCTACAAAACACCCCGCCAAAAAGAAGTGCTCAAGACTGGAGACATTTGCAACTTACACCATGACCATAACGGATACTCCCAATCGCATTAGTGCTAGCCACCTGAAAAGAAAAGCCAAATCACTTCTACCCATGAGACCAACACACTTGGGGCGTGTTGAATCTCTTGCAGTCGTATTATCAAAGGGAAAAAGCTCCTCGGAAGATGCTAATTTGTGGGACAATCTCAATGAACAATCTCGAAGATCTTGGAAATTATAAATATGGACCTTCCATTCTGTACGAGCCACTTCAGTACCAGCGCCATCAACTCCATTGCTATTCGAAACTTGTATTGGATTCTTTTCTGGTGAGGTACGTCTTGTTCCTCTTTTTCCATTGCTAGAAGACAAGGAACTAGAAAATGAAGATGCTCCATGAGCATTCAATACTCGTTTGGTACCATAAGATGATCCAGCGTTTGAGTTCTCCCCAGAATCCTTCCTATTGACGATTTCTTCGGGGATCGCTATGGCTAATTGGTCTCCATACTTCTCAGCATGATGATCGAGGAGCTCATTGATGGTGTCATATTCATCGACTGGAGTTAATTTTCTACTACTGGCCTCACCCAATGTACAAGTGAAATAATTAAGATCACCTGGAGCGATGGAAGCCATTGTAAGTAGAGGTGGGATACCCAAAAATGTTGATGAAGCAAAAAAAGAAAAGAGTTGATGTAACGATTCAGAAAGATTCGAAGAGGAATCACTCTAAGAAGCACCACTCATAAACAATACATTAGAAGAAGGAAACCACGGCACTGACTGGAGCACCTGGAGGGGAAACTGCATTTTAGAAAAGGCTAAAAAGATAGCTGCTCTGAGCCAAGTCTTGATTGGCAACTTCGAGATATGATCTTTGACTTGTAAGCTCTTTACTTGTCATATTTCCCAGGGGTTGAAATTAACTAGATGCGGAATCTAGTGATAGGTCGAGTAGATCTGCTAAAATTGCCTTTGTTTACTTAGTCCCAAATGCCAGCGTCATGACTATTTACTAGTGGCAGCTTCATAACAATGAACAACAGGTACTTATGTGCTTAGTGAGGGGAACATTGAAGACCTAGATTTGCCATCTTTCTTGATGAAAATAGGGTGACTATACACCCATTAATAGATAATTGTTCATAGTCGATACAAATGTATAACTTAGAACCTCGAAATTTATCAGAGAAGAATTCATCCAGTGACGATGAATCGAGTAGAGCTCAACAATCACGTGACTAATTGGTTTCTACGGTTAACCATAAGAACATTTACGAATTCACTCCTCGAACGCGAGGGAGCTATTTCTTTTTATCTGGCTCCCTCGGTCCTGTATGAATTTATCTTGGGGACATACTTCTTGACACCTTTAAATAATCCAAGTGCAATAATATATTTCTAAAAAGGTACGCGACATATTGCTCTTCATTGATAAATGGTTGGAACTTCTCATGTAGAGTTTACCTCACTTGATATCTTTCCTGAGAAAGTCTGGGAGATCTATAAAGTCTGGATATTGCAGAGGTTTTGTGTATATATCACCACTGTTTGAAAACGCTCTCCATTTGATTCGAGTTGAATCAACTTTACTTTAAAGAGGACCATCATCACAGTTGTGTTTGTTGAACTCTCCCCTTTTTCAGTGGACACGTGATCTCATCTTGATATATTATTCGCACTGAGAGTATCATAACCTACAAGTGTCAGTTTGCATCTACTGCAGTGACATAGTACCAAGATCCATTGTACAATCCATTATACAAAGATACTCCACATGTCCTTCCATATTCTGCATATTAGGTCCGGTTTACTACTTCAATAACCAAATAACTAATAAGTGTCCTACAGGTAGATCTTCTCAGTAATCATTTTCAGCCAAACCGTTATTCAATTCCAGCTTTTACAATGCATTCCAATCATTCTTCAGTTCCTCCTCAAGAGGTAACAGGAACAACTCAATTGCCTTGTAAGTTTCCAACCACCCCCAAAGCTCCCTTTCCGCCAACTAACATTCACCAGTATCACGTATCAAGAAGATCATCGGGACTGATCAAGACATAAACATGTGTTCCAACAATGCCGCATTTGTTATTACTTTAGCCACCGTATGTTATTCATCTCTATCTAATACTCTTCATACAAAAGCTAAGTATACATTTCAGGAAATGTTCATTCAATACATGGCCGAATCAGGCCACAACGTTGTCAAGTCTGAACGTAAACCTCGTCGTAACATTCAATATCGTGATCTTTGTAGGTCTCTCCTCTCTTAAATTGCGTCATCAAGATTTTCCCTCCATCACCGGATTCAATAAACACTCTCCGTTCTCTCTCAAACCGCACCCACTAACACCCCCCAGCCTCCGCCGTCTCCCACATCGACAACCTCGAATTTCTCAGCGACATCATCCCCAAGACCGTCCCCCTCAAACTTGTCAAAGCCAACGCCCACCTGGCCAACAACCTCGCAAAAGCCAAATCCACCGCCTCTCCCACCAACCCTCCCTTTCCCCAACCCTCCACCTCACAACCCGGTCCCTCAGCCGCAACCGCAAACCCCAACTCCTTCCCTCAATCCCCCCTCCTCGACACAGCTCCTCCCCGCGTTACCGTCTCCGGTCTGTTAGAAGACTCCGCATCCGCGTCCGCATCTACTTCCACACCAGCTCTCAACCAAATCCAACCCCAAATCCAACCCCAACCCCAACCCACATCTCAACCCACATCTCAACCCCAAACTCAAAATAACTCCCCCACCCAAACCACCACCGCTGCTGCCACGACCCCCGCCCACCCCATCACCATTCCCAATGGCTTTACCCCCACCAATGGCTTCACCCCCGCCAACAAACCCCAAAAACAGCAAGAACAGCGAAGAGTCAGCACCGCCACCGAAGACGAAGACCCCAATGCGCAATTGCGCATGGAGAGTCAGGCGAACAGCGACGATCATGATGAGGAAGATGATGATGTCGAGATGAGTTAGTCAGTATGACATGACATGACATGACATGTCATGGGTTGTGTTTTTCAGGGGTTTCTTTTTGGATCTTCACGTGCATTCCCCTTTTTTTGTTTTTGGGTTTCTTGCACCGGGGATGTGGTTGAGTCAAGATAATAGGGGATAGGAGAGGAAGCTATAGTTAGTTGAGTGCGCGGGTAAGGGAGTCTGTATTATAGATATCACATCACATCAAAGTACAAAAGCAAAGATAAAAACAAAATCACGAGAGCCATATAAATAATGTAAATATAAACTTATATGCATAACCGTGAAATTTCTTCTGTGGAGAGTAGAATGCTATACTATGCTATGCTATGCTATGCTATCCATTCATTGCATCCCATCACATGCACACATCAACAACGTCATCTCACCCAAAACGCCCAGCAATATGCAACCAATACGAAGTACTTTTTCTCTCTTTCCTTTTGATATATCATGATTTAATATCATCCTATTCATATCCTCTCATATCCTTTCATCCCGACGGGACTGGACCTAAAGCGCCTTAACTAGGTAGGTAGTTACGCATTCATTATAACCCCTCCTTTATAGCACCTATATGCAATTTATTCCTCTCCTCTCCTCAGCTCTTCTCTCTTTATTCTTCCATTGGATCGTCGCCTTGCGCAGCCGCCGGAACTCTTCCTTCATTCAACTCCTTCTCCAATTTAATAATCTCCTGCAAACTCTTTGCATTCTTGATTAGTTCCTCGACCTTCTTTCGTTCGGAATCGGTAAGCTTGACGCGGTAGGATTTGGAACTTGAGGATGTGGATGCGCCATTGCTAATGCTTGATGTGTCGAATGTGTGAGATTTAATGCCCATGATCTGTGAGAATGGATAAGTTAATATGGCCGTCTTAGAAGAGGACTGAAAAGAATGCAATCTTACCTTTGATGCAAGAGCAGATGGTTCTGCAAATGTACCAAATAACTCTCGAGCTCTTTCCCGCTCTACAGCTTTAACCTTCTTGTAATCCAGAAATCGGACATTGGGACATCGGAAGAGAATCCATTCTCTGTAATGCTATTATCCGCATCCATCAATTAGCTCAAACTAACTTTATTCATTTTCCAACAACATCAAACCAGTTCCCTCATTCTCCCCATCCCAAAACAAAATAGAAAATAACGCACCTCCTTCCTAGTCACCGGGTTCTCCATCAAAACCAGACTCGTCAACCTCGCACACCCCGCCAATCCATCCAGATCCGCCAACTCAGCTACATTATTACTCGTCAAAACCAACGTGGTCAAGTTCGGTAACGAATTTGCCAACGTAGGCGAGATACTCGAGACGCGATTGCGAGCTAGGAGAAGCGTTCGTAAACGTGGACTAAGTGGGAAGTTGCTGAGGAGTTGAATATCATTGTCTGTGAAATCGATTGCGTCGTGTGGCTAAGTTCCTGTTAGTATACTATCTTGCAGGTATGTGAAGCTTGTAAATTAAAGCTAAAGCAGAGGCAAAGGAAAAGAACTTGTCTTCCTCCCACCACCCTTCCAATTCTCCTTGACCTTGCTCTTGCCCTACCACTCTCCTCTCCCAGCCCCAAACCAACAGGCAACAAACAATCAAACCCCAAGAAAACAACAACAACAAAAACAACAACAACAACAACAAGAACAAGAAAAAACAATAAAACTCACCCCCGCAACTCCCAAATTTTCCACCGCCGGAATCTTATGACCTGCAAACCACCAAACAAACCAGTATCAACTCAGCTCTTTTCAAAAGTGTAGTATAGGGAGCTTCCCCTCCGTTCTTAACAGGAAAATCAAAGATTTGAAACGCACCTCGAAGATCTAATTCGCGTTCCTTGAGCGGATTGAGATAGGAAAGGGAGGATTGGATTAAGTCGGCCGTGAGACGCATGATTGATTGATGTTTCCGAATTTAGTTAATAAATTGTTCTGGTGGCGGGATACTAAGAGATGTGAGGATATATGTGAAGGTCGTAGGGTCGTGAGGTGCTTGAATGGGTCGCAAGGCTGATATCATGATGCTCGCAATCCAGAAATTATTTTGGTGAAGCTTTAATTTCGCGCTAACCGGTTTTCAATTGTCAGCCTTTTGGACAGTCATCCTATTAGGTAGGTACACACAAGGATTCATTTCCATCCGAAGTATATCTACCGGTGTATATAGTTATACGATTACTATTAATTAATTCAGGTAAATTATATTACAATCACTTACTACTAGTTATGGTCTATTAGATGCAAAAGCCTATTGCTCAATCTCTGTATATTATACATCTCAAAAATACAATAACCCGATTCCCCTCCTCATTCCCATGGTTGTGTTCACTACCGTTTCCATTCAAATAACTCCGATCCTTCATGTATTTTCATAAATCATCCTGACTCACTGGAAGACAAAGATAACTCCTCCTCTATCGACACTAACCACCATTCCATAGGGACTCTCTAACAACGCCACATCCAAAATTGAATCCAAATGCGCCCTCAATAATTGATGCCCTTGTAATGAAATAATCGTACTCCTTGGCGCCTTTCCATTTCCTCTACTGCTTGCTTCAGATCTACCTCCATCATTGCCTCTATCTCTTGTTCCAGCATTAGGAGCTGTTGGGGTTTGTCTAGGTACTCGCTCGTGGTTCAATGTAAGTATCGGTGTCGGATGAGAGGAAGTATATGATGGTTTAAGCTCATCAGTCTCTAAACCACTCACAACCATTGAACTTTCTACGCGTGATAAATCCCAGAATCGAATCTTACGGTCTGAGCCACCCGTAATAACAAACCCATATTTGCCATCACGATTATCATCATTAGCATCAGTACCAGCAATCATAGCACGAATTCCATAATTTGAGACACTGGCTGTTGGTTCGAGGGCCCCTGCAAAGCGACCAAGCATACCTTCTGGACGATCTTCATCAACAGGCCAAGGTTCATAATTCTTTGGTGCCTCTCGACTTGATCCAGATCGATACACTTCTCGACATTGTGTCTTTTCAACATCCCAGACAGTAATTTCTCCTTGTCCACTACCACCAGCGACACATACCCATCTACCTCGACCTCTAGTAGGATGGATTCGAATTCTGTAAATAGATGTGGATCCTGGAACGCCCCAAGCCTTTAAACGGACCTTGAAACGTAAATCCCACAGATCCAAGATACCATGTGAAGTTCCTAGTAATAGCCAATTACGTTTCTTGTCGACACAGAAACATGTTGGAGTGCCATGATGAACAGGATTCTCTAGAATGTAAAGGATCGTCATGGCTCTTAGGTCAATAGCCAATACTCTTGAACGATTCGTAGCGATAAGTAAAATCGAATTCGTTTCTAGTTTAAAGTGCTCTGCCCATATAGCAAATTCGTCTTTTGGTAGCTTGTATTCACGTAAGAGGCGAAGTTTACTATATCTTCCCACACCAGCGCTTTGGATAAAATCAACTTTGACTACGTTGATGCTTCCATCACTTCCACAGCTCACAAATGAATGTGTATGTTCCACGAAGCATAACGCAGTAACCTTGGCATCATCCGCATGTTTGTGCGTCTGTCTGGATCGATGAGCGATATTTCGTTCAAGTCTACCGGTATCCCACACTTTTACGCAACCATCATCTCCACCTGTGAGGAAGAATACATGATCTGGAGCAACAGCTATGTGATGTATTGGTCCAACATGCTCAGCAAAAGTAGCTACAAGACTACCTTCGGGTCTCCAAGGTTTATCCCCAGCTTGATTACTATTCCTATTAATAGCTCGGCGTCGACTCGAAGGAGCAATCATAGGTCCGAATTCGGCGATATCATTGGGGTAATTATCCACATACATGGCATCCAGCATTCTAAGTATGTTTGGATCATTGCCTGAATAAGTATGAGCCGCTCTGAATCGTATTTCATTGTTGGCAGAGGCGTCTTGATCTTTTGTCAAATTAGTTGACAAAGGTTGAGGAGGTTGTGAGAAAGGTCCCTCAACCTTGCCGAAAGCATTTGTTGAGGTGGTACTTGTCTCGGGAACACTTTTCCCTGGCTCCTTGCGATTCATCAGAGTCATAGCAGAAGATTTATGACGGATGCCACGAATAGTATCCCCTGATTCAATAGACATAGCGCCCAGTAGTGATGCTGTCCCATCATCGCTCATCTGACCTGTTGTGTCTGAACTTCCAGGACGGACTAGAGATCCCTTGCGTGGCGTCATAGATGACCTTGGAGTCAAGGTATCCGTAGGGGACAAGAATGCCGGTGATAAAGTTGGAGAGTGTGGCTCTAATCCATTAGTAGTAATAGGCAAGCCAGCTTTCGATCTATGACTATTCAGCGCAGAGCGTTTCCTTTTAGCGATTGAATCATCAATGGTCATGGAGGCATCAAGTAAAGCGTCAGCTATAGAGTGTTGCTCTCCATTGACCTCTGAGCCGTTGTTGATTTTGCGAGGTGGTTCTTCTGTAATCTGTTCATCAAACATCACTGTTTGTGGTGTAATGTTGAAACTTCTGAGATTGATGACATTATTGAGATAGTTTGGATGTGTTGGACCTTCTCTGGCTTTGGAAGGTGCAAGGCGCCATATATACTCTCTCAAAGCGATCAGCTTTGCTTCGTCTTCGTGACTCATTCCTATGTTTCGTAATTTTGCCAGCCATTGTTCATCTTCTTCATTCTTTGGTATTCTGGATAAAGCATGATGACCAGACTCTTTAGATGAGACAGTAGGTACAAAACTGCTTGAATTGAAAGAGAATGTTCGTAACTGATTCACAGGTTTCCAGAATATTCCTCTATCAGCTTTATTAGCCCAATTGATAGACATATCAAGGACTGCCCTCGATAGTGGTTTTTTCATAGCATCAAGTAAAGTGACCTCCGAGTAATCGTTGACACCTGTCTTGAAATATGGACGGACAAGTGGTAAGATGATGCATAAAATATCTGCACTGGACAAAAAAATAGTTGCCGATGAAATAAAATTCACTGCTGCCTCTCTGATCCAAATGTTAGGATGCATTGTGAAGCGACTGACCACATCTACCATCTCCCAAATCTTCGACCGTTGGAACAAACCCAACTGTGCCATATCAGCAAATGAGTGAAGAACGCTTCTTACTACAAAATCTTCAGGATCCGTCAGAGCCTGAACCATCAACGGTAGTATGAATTCTTCAAGGCTGATACCGCCTAAGAAAGTTGCAACCCCAACAATAGTCTCGAAAAAAGCACACTTCAACATCCAATTTCGGTCATTCAAGTAAGTATTTAGATGACTCAAAATAATGTCATTCGAGTCTGCTGTGCCGAAAAACATACACAACTCCGGCACAGATCCTAGGAAAGCTCTTTTGACAGCAGAATCACTATCTGTAATCAAAGCCTTAGTATGTCCTTCAAAGACTTCAATAAGCTCATCTCGAGCTGTGTCAAACAGCCCTTGAAATGGTGCATCCTTGCTATTAGCATCGTCGGCATCGGGATCCGTAGAAGGAAGTGACCCATCTGACCTCAAAGTTGCAACCATATCGAGAAACTTGGAGGCTGAACTGGCAAGGCTTCCTATACATGCTGCATAGGTCGCCCTTACTAAAGGTCCTGGTTCTGTAGGTGATCCGGGGAGGAAAATCTGCATTCGTGGCAATATGTATTCTGGAAATACATGTGCATTTATAGGCGAGACTACTGTAACAAGAGCCAAAAGTTGAGTTATTGTTCGAATAGCTGTTACTTTCACAAGCTCTGATTTATCCGTGAGTAAAGTCATGATATATGGTAGAACCCGGTCGAGTTTCGCTTCATCAGTCAACCTTTCGGCAAAAGCTAGTAATATATCGCAAGCTCGAATCTTTGCAGTGGCTCTCGCAGCATTTCGCATTGATGATACAACTAATGTTAGAAAAATCAAAGTTCCATCATCTATAGGTCGTCTACCAAGAGCAGAAGCGAAATGCTCATTATTTGGTATATTGAGATGTACAGGTATTGGTTGTAAGCCTGTTCCTGTAGATATGCTCTTGAAAGCTGGTGTTGGTTTTTCATTCTCATAACCTAAGAAGTAAGAAATCTTATCAAAGTCGTAATAGATGCGATCAATACGTTCATCGGCCTCACCAAGATTTGCTGATGACCCAGATATTGGCGCTCTTCCAGATGATGGATCTGTAATTAAACCCATGTATTGATGTAAAAAACTGTAAAAGTAATCTGGAAAGACCTTCTTCCTCCAAAACTGCAAATATTCTTCTGCTGAGTATCTAGATTCAGGACTCAATTGGATCATATGTGACACCATTTCTCGCACGTCTTTATCCGTGATTCGATTGAGCAACGAAGTGACTGGATCGTACTCCCCTCTGCGATATTGATACAATTGACTCAATGTGAAAATTGGAGCTTCTGTAAAAAGTTCCGCTATCACGCACCCAACACTAAAGACATCCATAGCCCAAGTTATTGGTGCTTTGGGATCTGGTGTTTCTCCTGTCGCCAAAAACCGTTCCGGAGCTAAATAGCATGTTCTGCGTCCAGCAGTATCGAAATAATAGGAGAAATCCGCAGGGTTATCTTCCGGTAAGTTTGTTGGCTTGAACGAGGAAGAGAAATCAGACAAATATAACCAATTCCATGACGTTACTAATGTATTCTCCGTCTTTATATCTCCATGGAACACATCTCTAGCATGGCAATCACGGACGGCGCATAAAAGCTGAAACGCAAGCCATTTCTTCTCAATATCCTCCAGAAAAGGTCTAGTACTCATGCGATCGTATAGGGAGCTGTATAAATATTGTCGAACAAGATAACCATTCGTTTCTGTTTCCGCGATACGTTGATAGGGGAGCGCATTTGGGACATCAGCCAGGGCTTTTCGTTCTCCTATACAAATGAATTAGATCCCATCAAAGAAAATCCATATACACAACTCACGGACTATCTTCTTCCTATACTTCTTGAGATCCATGGCGTAAGGCTTAACGACAACCTTGACAAGTACAACTCCATCTTGGCTACGAGCACGAATACTTTTCATAAATCGGGCAGTTCCCATAGACTTTTCGTAAACCAAATCCGAGAGTTCTGGTACATCAATACCTGCAGAGCCCGCCGAGAGCGTCGTGAGAGAGAAACCTTGACCCATGATTGTGACGAGCAGAAGTTCATCCGCCTGAAATCATGGATGTATATTGCTGTTCTTGTTTGTTGAAACAATGAAGTAAAGCTTCCGGAAGCTGTAGTACGACAACTATTTTAGATATGACAGTGAATCATATCCACCAAGTAATTGTAGAATCGTTGTAGTTGGCGCAAAGCATTTGGAGTCGTCGGTTCGAAGATGATGATTTACGAATGGAGGTGGTTACTAAGCGATAGGGCGGTCATTATCTGATATGTATCTATCTTAAGCTAGCCGGCTGCCTAAGTGGATACCTGATACAATTGAACATTTCATGAAATCATCACCATGAATTGATTAATAGCAAGTGTTTTGTTCGATATTTCAAGAGAGCATTTTTCCATCCTTTTTGAACAATTCATCACAATAGATCAAAGAATGGCTTCAATATGGTCTGAGAGTTTCCTATCACATCCTACTGTTACGCTCTCTTGCATAAGACAAAATCATCAGATGAAGTGATAAAAGGTTATTGATTATAGTATCATGTCTCGTCGCCAATGATGGCATTTATAAGTACAGTGAGTTTTCCAGCTCATTTCATAACTCCAACGATAGATTCCTCAGACAACCTATCATCCCATGAATATACTGGTGGGTATAAATTCATTTACTTGCTTGTAACACATTCAATTGGTATGCATCACATTTAAGCCTTTCCCTTTCTCTTCAACTCAGCCTCCTCTTCCTTTCTCAATTGTTGATCGATTGTAGCACCTCTGCTTGGCTCATTGCCGTGCATCTTGGCCTGGTAGGACAAATGTCAGTACAGTTTTTAAAGAATGGCCGTCTAGATATGTAACCAAAATCTGATGAAGAATGAAGTATCGAGTGAAGTGTTGTTGTGCAACAGTGTGAATGGACGAATAGGGAAAAAGCTTACTGGGAGCGTAGCATCTTCCTTTGCGGCTCTGTCCTCCTTGCTCATCTCCTCAGGTTCGTTCTCACGTTGCTCCTCACGAGCCAACTTGTTTGCAATGGATCTCTCATCCTCTGTTTGATTGATTAGCTTGTACTTCTTCAAACGTCAAGAGTTCAATGAATCTTACTGGAGTCAAGTGCTTGATGGCTGTTCTCCTTTCCCTCGTGGAATCTCTCGTGGTTCTCGTGGAGTTTTTGATCGACGTTGGAGCTCATGTTGATTGATTTATATGTGTTTGATGTGAATGGAGAGAAAGTAGATAGTGTGAGTGAGGTTTTTATTATATGAATGATTGATTTGAACGTTGAAAAGTATGAAGAATTAAAAGTCGATGAGGGGTATCAAGTCGACTATAAAATAGGTAGGTAGGTGTTGGAGACTCGAGCCATACGTCATAATGAAAGCTTTTCCCACACACCAACTAGATTGCCTTCCTTGCCTTGCCTTGCTATCAAAACACCACCATACCATCATACCATAGAACAGACGTCACTTAACATCAATATATCTACCTAGTATGTAAGGTACCCGCTATTTTTTCACAGAAGGAATCAGGAAAGAGATCGTACCAACTCTAAGGAATCGCAAAACTTTGAAAATGTATTGGAATTCCTCTCCACTTACTTTATTGAGATATATGATTGATTGGCTTTTTGTCTACCCCTCTATTGACGATCCATCGTAGGGCAGGAAGCTTCGAGAACGCATTGTGTATATTCTTTTGAAGGTTCACCGAGAAAGTTCCTTTTCGAAATTGTATCATAATGACGAAGGACAGGAGTTTGTTGATATCGTTCCTTTCTTTTCCTTCCAACGTTGAATGAACCTCAGATGGCGTCCCTTGCATCGCCAGCCACATCGACCACATCTACCAACTGCATCGTGCTTTGTCGTCTACAAAGTTTCAGAGATGTGAAGATGTAGGAAGCTGGAACTTCTAGGAAGGGATAAGAGAGAATAATCTCGCATACAGACCGGCTGCGACCTGCATCAAAGTCAATCCCAACTTTCCAAGAAGTCCAGCCGAGCCAGCTCAAGTTTACGCTTACGAATTTATTTTCCGGGCGATCAAACCAACAAGTATCTAAACTATCGGATCTCATTTCCGAAAATCTAGAGCAAAGCAACACAGCCATCAAGGATTATGAGACCGACAGATTTTACAACAATCATTTTTGAAAACATCGGCGAAGATACAAGCAAGGGCGACGACTACTATGTTCGAAGCAATGTAGATCAATGCATTAACTAATGATGTATGCATTCACTCAGACTTTTGGATTAGAGACGATGTCTTGCATGAGTGCCACATCACAATGTCAAAAGTCTCTGACATGACATGACTGACATAGCAACTATAAATTTGATGAACGACAAGTCAATAAATCGTTCAGTCCAAGATCTGTGTCCATCGATGAGATGGTAAGAAACATTTGATAGGGGTTATCTTGTTTTACATGACCCTCGATTCCAACCTGCATGCCAGGTTTTCATCTCCATGCGGACTTGAAGCAGCGAAATGAATCACCCAAAAGAAAGGTTTCTCTGGCACTCAATAGCATATATATAATTACCTTCAAGTACTACTGTACTATGAGAGAGAAAGGAACGACGACATTATAAATGCTTCAACATTTGATTATACAATGAAATGATTGGACAACAAGAAAACATTGACCACCTCAATAACTACTAGGTAATGAATAATCAGACCTCGTACTCTTCAGCGTAACCGCCATTTTATTATGGAAAGTTGCATCTTTCTCATTTCCCAGCCTCTTCACCTGCATCCAATGGAGTCTTCTTAGCCATACATTTCGACTTTGAGGAGTCTATAGAACAAGCATTTCTTTCACTATTGAAACGAACTAGGACAAGATGAACATGGCAAGAACATTCGGATAATTTCTATTCTCGATGTCTGTTCGCCATGCGTGGTAGTCAGCCAGTCGAGCCAGTGTGAGAGAGATGTACAAGGTAATAGGGAGGTAGCTAGAGATGATATAGTGTAACATTAGAACGTGGCTATCAAACGGAGTTGGGAGGATTAATGATCAACCATCAACCATCAACCATCAACCATCAACCATCAATCACCACCAATCTCCCTATAGCTAGATACTTCATAAGTGGCTGAGGGTAGCTCGGGTGGAGGGTGAGGAGGTAGAACGGGTACCGGTATTGTGTTGGCGATGAAATTTAGCGGGGGAACCACGGGGCGAAAGGGAACAAGCGTATGAAAAGAAGGCTTTCCTTCTACGCGTGCGTGTGGTTGTTTATCCGATGAACTTCACCGATATATGCTTTCTTTTTCTTACAGACTAAACCTTTATCGGCCAGTCAATATCAACACAATTACCGACTAGGTAGATTTACGATGAAGGTCGTATATTTCTTCATTATGACAACTCAGAAAGTTCCAGCCTTCACATACTGGTCAGAGGTAAAAGATACGCAAGCTTTTCCCCAAAGTGACAAACAGACTTGCAGGTGCATGGTATGGCATGGCATCCATCGCATGGCATCGCATCTTTCTATCATTATCATATTACCACATTACCATATTACCTAGGTAGATATTGGTATTGTATTGTATTGTATAATATTGTATGATACAAATCCAGACCATCCTCCGAAATTTATATTTTATATCTATATTTATAAAATACTCAAACCCCAATTCTTCGGAATCTTTCATCCAATCAATCTTCCCTCTGTTAACTCAAAAGGTCGATTTGGCCATTTTACTCACAAGATACTTTTTTGCTTCACCTCATTTTAAATTTCGGTCTACCGCGAACACTCCCTGTCGACTACAAGGGGTAACTGTGCGCATAGTGGTTGGTAGGTACAGAGCAGTGAATCTTATCTATTTTTCCCACTTTGGCCTTTTGAGCGCAGACCTTTCGAACCTTTTTTAGACATTTTTCCGGCCAACACGCCAAACTGCCAAAACTTTCCTTTCATTCAATCACCTACCTAGTATGTGCTTGAGTTTCAGGTGCTTTCCGCTCTTTTCCCTCTGGTCCTTTTCTTTCCTCAGGTAGAGAATATCCTAAACCTAAATATTCCTTCCTATCCAAAGGCCTCTCCCTCTCTCTCTCTCTCTCTCAAAACAAGAGGCGGTCACTAAAGGAAAGAAGAGGTTGATCAAAGTTCAACCATCTTTTGGTCCTTGGGTCTTGCTTCTTGCTTCTTCCTCTTCCTCTTCCTCTTCCTCTTCCTCTTCCTCTTCTCCTTCCTCTATTGCAGTGAATCTTGTTCATTCGTTCAACTTATTCTGCTCATATACCTCACTCAACTTTGATCGTTACAAAATTAACAGAATCATTCTCTTGAATTTTCAATTCGTTTTTGGAAGAACTTCTTTTTCCTTTTCTTTTCTACAAAATCTGTTAATTCAACAATCGCCTCTTTGGATATTGGGTGGTACTTTTGTTTTTATTGAGCTGAGGATATTGAAGAGTCGATTCGAGAAAGACAGAAAAGGATATAATCGCAAAAGGGTTCGAATGCTTGTACCTGAGCAAGGACGACTACATCAAGAGATTATGAACCAGCAAAATTTGGGAAACGATTCCAATCACACCTTCACCACTACTTACTTTTCGATATCAAACAATGAGATTCATCATTGCGACAATAGCATATCATACGATCCATTGAAACTATCCCCATCTCAAACAATGGCGAAACTCATATCGAAAGATAGGAAAGGACTCAACAACAGGAGCAAACGAAAACAAAGGTGGACTGGATCTTTTACCAAGGCAGCCATAATATCAATTCTCGCAAGTGTACCTCTTGCAATTGCAGATTGTATTTCTCTTTCAGATTCTACTCAATGTCCTGCATTTACTTCCGCTTCAATTGATACAAACTTGACCGGACTTTTGTATGTTTTGACCTCGCCCTACCAACAAGCGTTTATCGATCAACACTGACTATATACTATTTAGCCCATTTTTATCATATGTTTCCGATCGCGCTACTTTCGATACTCAATTAAGTGCATACGTTCAAACAAGCTATGTGCAGTCAAAGTATGCATCCCTATCATTGTTTACATATGCCGGTGCTTGTCTAACACGATCATGCAGGTACCAGCAACTTCTCGGATGCGGAAATATAAATCTTACCAATACATCAAACCTTTACGCTCGATATACAACCACAGTCATATGTAATTCTATAATACAGAATTCCAAATCATCATGTAGTTTGTCGGATACCCAAGCACCACCAGTTTGTGCAAATTCTTGCGTGAGTTTTCATCATGTCCGATTTTTGTATGATTAGAAGTTGACAGATAGGAAATAGGCCCAATTCGCGGAGAGCGAATCGATAATAATTGCTGATAGTCAACTCTGTTCAAGTCCCGGAAGCAATGCTATTCCTCAAATTCGTGCCGACTTTACAAATTGCGCATTACCATCAGATTCATTGACTGGATCTTGTGTAGAAGGTTCCACTAATGAACCAGATAATTGTGGATATGGCAATAGCACATTCGGATTATGTCAGTACTGTGGTACTGGTGGACAAAACAGTACAGATACTTGCTGTTATAATTCAGGAGCAGAATCACGTTGTGCTGGTGTAGTATTACCTACGATTACAGGATTCATCATCTTCTCGACAAGTACTGCCTCCTCAAGTTCAGGAACATCGACTCCAACATCATCTTCCACCGGTGCCGCCGCCACCTCATCGACATCGCATAAGAGACTATCCCGTGGTGCTATCGCGGGTATTGTTATTGGATCATTACTTGGGTTGGCCGCACTTGTTGGCTTAATCTTTTTCATGTGCCTGCGTAAACGACGTGGAAGTCAGCATGGAAGTATCTTGAACCAACCGACACCTGCCAGAAATAATGGAAAGGCATATAATCCCGTAAATTCTAATACTACCCCTGAAGGATACGAAGTGCTTCCTGGAGGACGGATCGCGCGAATGTCGGCACTTGAAGGACATTCTCATTCTGGACATTCTTCTTCCCCACGCGACAGAGATGGAGCACTTGGTGACGCTGTACTAGGAGGTGCGGCTGGCTATGCTACCGGAAGAAGACATGACCATGACACTTCTTCGAGTGATTTTGGGGATAGTCCTAGATCAGGTATGCCAGGTGGGATTTTACGACCACCTCCAAATAGACGAACTGGTTCTCTTTCTAGTGGTTCAGTTCTTGGACTTGACGATCCTCAAACTCCTGGTACTGGTAGTATGTCATCACCCCACGGCGTGGCCAGTAATCAATCCGAGCAACTACCATTTTTCAAGGATTACTATTCCCAAGATGAAATTCACCCTGGCGACAAAGTTGCAACTTTATGGGCGTATCAACCACGTGCCGGAGATGAATTTTCATTGGAACGTGGTGATATGCTCAAGGTTGTTGGTATTTGGGATGATGGATGGGCTACCGGAGTCATGATAAATGAGCGCGCCGATGAGTGGGACGAAAAGCATAAAGCACAACGCGATAGTGGGGTCTCGAACACATCTGGGCGAAGAAATGATTCTCCAAATGTTAGTGGCGAGATTAAAGCTTTCCCATTAGTTTGTGTTTGTCTTCCAGATCATTGGAGGAGGACAATCGATGGTGATGGTTCGACGGACTCTGGTGGTCCACCAGGCCTATAATGACGGCATTTTTCATATTTTATTTCTTAATCAATAATTTCACGGCTTCACGATCATCGTATTTCATTCAGTACAGGCGTTAAGGACTATAAGATTCTCTTCACACACGCACATCAACCAATCCTATATTCACACGCATCCCAATACCTCATTTACATTCGAATTAAATTTCACGCCCCGTTACGTCTTAGATTTTACTGACGGTATCACATCACACATTACCGGTCTTGAGCTTATGTGCTCATGGATTGGCATTAATTTTTTAATGATAGCATCAATCTTTGCTGCTTGATTATGGAAGAACGTTGTTAGATTATTGATACTACTACCATTTTCTTTCTTATTACATATACCCAAATTCGTTTAAACTGCTATTCGGATGGAGACAAAATTGGGAGGATGGAGGCATTTTTGATTTGCATAATAGTGACTATTGAAGAAGATTCATTATTGGGGATGAAGCAGGCTTTTCAATAGGAGACTAGAAGGAGTAAGATGAGATGATTATCTATATGGGCTGTTAGGTTCGTTTTATAGGTAGTCAAAATGAACGAAGTTTGAAAGAAAGGAAAGTTCAAGTAATACACATGGATGAAGTTCCCAATGAATTGAATGTTGTGAATCGCCCATACATAAACAGTTTTATCTCCTGAAAAACAAGAGAATCAACCGAATGATGCCCCGCTACTAGTGTCTTTATTTCCCCAAATTTTATAATTCTGCCAAAGCGGTCGACTATTAGACTTCGACTTCGATTTTAAAGACTTTCACAAGTCAAATTTTACATTGAGAAGACGTCACAAAAACATTTGCACATATACACGATATCAAGATGGTTAAGAAGAGAGTTCGCGATCCGGAAGAACTTCCTGATGCGCCTGTTCACAGCGCAGGAGAGGACAATGAGAATGATAGTGGAAGTGATGTAAGTTTTGGATTTCTCTGGGGATTTCTTTTGAGGGGATGGTTTGGGGGGATGGACAGATGGGGATATGAATTTGGGATTGGCCATTTCAATTGCATTATGCGGATTCTTCCTATCTTCTATCTGTACTTTTTCTCCTCGGTATCATCAACATTACATAGATCGGTATACTGACGCCGATAAACCATCTACAGGGCGAAGATATCCTGAACGTCGATTTCGAATGGTTTAATTTCCGGGAGATAGATTTCCACGGGGTCAAGAGTCTGATTCGACAATTGTTCGATGTGGATAGTCAGTTGTTGGATCTGAGCGGATTGGCGGATGAGGTGGTCGCGCAGGATACGATTGGTAGTACGGTGAAGGTGGATGGGGAGGGCACGGATGCGTATGCGTTTATGACGGTTTTGAATGTGCAGAGGGGGAATCGGGAGGGGGGGGTGTTGAGTGAGGCGGTGAGGGGCTTGAAGGGGTATTTGGAGAGTCAGGTGAAGGAGGGGGGGAAGATTCAACAGGTGTTGAAGGGAAGTGAGGATGTGGGTGTGGTGTTGGCGGAGAGGTTGATTAATGTGCCGTCGGAGGTGGCGCCGCCGATGTATGGCATGCTGGTGGATGAGATCGAGGCGGCGGTGGAGGATAAGGAACCGTATGCTTTTGAGTATTATTTGGTGGTGTCGAGGGGGTATCGAGAGGTGGAATCGAGGTTGGATCGGGAGGAGCAGGGTCCGAAGAGTAAGAAGAGTAAGGGGAAGGGAAAGGCGAGTGCGGAGGTGTTTTATTTTCATCCAGAGGATGAGGTGTTGAAGAGATTTAGCTGTGCGTATGAGGAATTTGAGTATAAGAAGGATGAGGGGGAGGGCATGGCGGATAGTAAGAGGGCGTTCCAGGAAATGGGGATTAGAGCGGTGGGAGAATTGATCTTGATTGAGAAGGCGAAGTGGGAAGAATGTGTTAAAGCTTTGGGGGAATATTTGGGTGCGCCTAATTAAGAGGTGTTTAAAGAAATGATAGAAATGAAAGAAATCAATAAAACTCAATATTAATATCATGTGTTATGACTTGAGAATCTTTTTCTTTTTTCTGTTTTCTGTTTGCTTTCTCCTTTTTTTGATATTCGCTTGGGTATCATTTTTTTTAACAATGTTCTCTGCTACAATTGGTATTCTCTCATACAGCCCTGACCTTCTCTCCCATACTTCTATAGATTGAAGCGTGCCATAGACGAAAAATCAAGAACCTCCTCGATGCTCTGTCTGCAAACAAGAACATGATCGAAACGATGAGTATCTATACATCCTTCCCATACTTATATCTTCTACATAGTAGTACAACGTCCCTCCAAACATCTATTCCTTCTTCTCCAATCTCTGCATCAAATACTCCACCTCTACGACCTTGGTCAACGGGATGACAAAATCTCTATACAAGCCCTCTACGGCCTCTACATTAATCTTCCCCTGCGGCTCCTCTCCCTTCGCATTCCCTTTATTCAAGCTCGGGTCGGTACCGTACGTGCGCGCCTTTAATCTCAACCTCTCGAGCACCTGCAACTCCACTTTCTCATTCGTGATAGCGCGGCCCAGCCCCTCGCGATCGCCCGCAAGGATCATCTTCGTGAATGCTTCTTCCTCTGCGCGGAACTTGGACTCTGCGACGAACTTGCCAAAGTGGATGCGTCGGGAGAGGGCTTGCAGACAGTTGATATCGCAGGTTGCGGCGGAGCCGTAGTTTTCCTCGCGCTCGCCGCGGTCGGAGCGTCCGGTTTGCAGACAGGCTTTGGGCAGGAAGGTGTTGATGTAGTGGTCTTTGATCTGGGCGTTGACGTTGACGGTGTTGGGGTGCAGGATGGTGGGGTAGTGCAGCGGTTGGAGGATGGGTGGTTTGAGGGCGTCCGGGAAGAAGGGATATTCGTCGGGGGATTGGAAGCGGCGGATTAGGGAGTCGAGGGTTTCGCGGGAGTGTAAGAGCCAGTCGAGGAAGGAGAGCGTGGTGTTGGGGAGGGGTAGCGCGGAGGGGATGTAGATGGTGGGGTTGAGGGGGAATTGGACCCGTTCGATTAGGTGGAAGGTTATGGTGTCTTCGAGACGGCTGGGGGGAGGTTAGTTTGGGGGTTTGGGGGTTTGGGGGATGGGTGGAGGGGGTGGAGGGGAAGGGGGGAGAGAGGAAGTACACACATAAGTTGAAAACGAATATTAGCCAAATCGAGAGCTTTAGAAGCATCTGAAAGATCAATTGCTGCATCCATGATGAAATTTGTAACTATCCTATACCAATTGAAGAATTTGGATGTATATGAATTGGGGATGAGAAAGTAACGTAAAGTAAAGTTTAATTTTTGAAGTTTGTAGAAAGGTATGTATGTATGTGGAAATCAAAGAATTTGGAAGAAAAGATTCGAATAGTGCAGTGCAGCTGAGTTTAGTTGAGTTCAGCTGATGTTTATGTACTCTTCAATTTTCTGTATAAAAAAGAAGGGAGAGGTGGAGAGGAAAGGTATGAAATAAGAAAGATGGAAATAGAGTTTGCTTGGTGTCGTGTTTGCTTGGATTTTTGCGATTTCTCCTCGGATCCGGAGATGTGATGTGATGTGATGTGATGTGATGTGATGTAGGGAGGGGATGAGGAGGAGTGAGTGAGGTGAGTGAGTGAGTGAGGATTGAATAGGTAATTGGATTGGATGGGTGAGGGTGAGGGTGAGAGTGAGATTATAGATTCTTATGTATGTATTCTCTATATCTGCTAGGTATCTAGGTACTCGTAGATATTCTGTTCTTATATGGTACTCGTACAGAAATACAGTCATAATCCACCACTCAACATCCACGCACCATAGTAATACCTAATCAGTCCATCACATACATAAGAACGATAGTGGGGGTAAAGAATATTCCGGAGAAAATACCGAGCAAGTAAGTAAGGGATCTTCCGTCGTACTCTGTTACTCGTCCTGGTACGACGATGTAGATGTATCGTTGTATTGATATGTCTGTCTACTAGCACGATTCTGGTGTACTGTAAGACTTATTATCACATAGCTCTAGAGCTTGAATATAAAGAAAGGTACATGCCATACAACCTACCTACGTTGTACACATATTATGCATAAAACTATGCATAAACTACCTTTCATCTTGCCCAATCCAGAATTTTATGAATTCCATTTTCCTTTTATGCATCTCTTTCCCACCTATCAATTCCATTCCATCAGTCTCACTACTTAATACCTATTACCTACCGACCTACCTACCTACCTACCTACATACCTACCTAGTCAATTACCAAAACTACCTCAAAATCCATTCATCATACCCGTCTCAAGCCGGTATCGTATCCTATCGTATCCTATCGTACCGTCCCGTAATCGTATCGTATCTTCCAAAAAAGATCTGGACAGAATGAACAAATTAAAAAACTTCTAAAATTCTTTCCCAATATCAAAAATCAATATCAAAAACTTAATCGTGCCAACACACACTTTCCACGGGAACCAACCAAATACCGCTCTTCAATTGTCCCGCATTGAATTATCAAATCTTGAGCAGGAAAACTTGACATCGGTCCTGTGCAAAAAGTCAATTGTATGGCTGGCTCCAGTAGCCGCAATGCCTCTTCATACGGGGCAGAAGAGGATGAAGATGGAGCTTTGATATCGGTATGTTTATGCTGGATGTTCTCTTAGCTCGACTACTGCTGTTCCTTATCTGCATATTCTATCCATTGCTTTTATTTTTATTCATGTTCCCATTAAATTGTGCTTGCTAATGGGTATCTATCTCGATCAGACCCGAGGGTTAGAAGCTTTTGGTCGAAAGGTCACCACGACCGCTGGCCATCTCATAGGTCCCATCGATCCCACTTCCAGCACCCATTATCAAAATGCCATGAGCGATTTACATAAACAACTTCGCAGACCCAATCTTCAACGCAGCGTCTTCTCCTTTGCCAAAACTACCCCGACCGATTTGGTGCGCTCCAAGTTGTCGACGTCGGAAATTCAATATAGGGCCTTGACTTTCTTGCCCGATGAACTTTTGAGGAATATCCCCGACAATGATAATAGCTATTCCTTATTCCAGGGATTTCAAGCAACGCTGCCGGAAACGAGTGAGGAGAAGGGAAAAAAGCACAAGAGGCGAATTTCGAGGGGTAGGAAACTTCTTGATAATGCTAGTGAGGGGGGGTCGGAGGGGGATGGTCCACCCAGTCTTGCGAGGTTGAAAAAAGAAAAAGCGGCCCTGAATCATCGATTGGAGATGATGGGGATTAGGAAGAATATGGCGAGTAGTGAGATTCATGGGATTGATAATAAAATCGCAAATCTTAATTCTATGAGGAGAATTGTTTTGGATAGATTGGCGGGATTGGAACAGGAAGAGTCGATGTTGGAACATGAGAGTGAGTATATTTTGCGAATGTTGAAAGTGCGGGGTATAACTAACTTTTGGGAATAGTTCTAGATGTGGAGAATCGATTGGAGGATGCTCAAGAACAAATTGATGATGCGGAAGCTTTAGGAAAATCTATCACTGGAACCGATGAAGGCGAAGATGCTGAGAATGCAGGAATGGATTCATCATTTATGTCTGAATCGATTTACGAAAAACTTCCCTCGAGGGCAAGTACACCTTCATCGAAAGGATCAAGAAGACACAAGACGATTCGAAGAAAATCCATGCCAATTTTACATGAACATTTCGAACCGGGGTCTTCAATTCGAGAAATTCAAGCTCACGATGATATAATTACTGCTCTCGATTTCGATGTACCATTTGGTACCATGGTTTCTTCGGCTTTGGATGATTCGGTTCGAGTATGGGATATGAATGCTGGTAGATGTATAGGACTTCTTGAAGGACACACTGCATCTGTACGAACTCTTCAAGTAGAGGATAATATCGTTGCGACTGGTTCTATGGATGCTACAATTCGATTGTGGGATTTAAGTAAAGCTCGTTATGAAGTTCAAGATAAAATTAAGGAAGAAGCAGAGGAGGAGGAGGAGGAAGAAGATCATCTTGCATTTGGTGAAGCTTTGGAACAGGAAAAACAACCAATTCATATTCCACAGGGAATGATGGCGGATTGTCCATTATTCACATTAGAAGCTCATGTGGATGAAGTCACAGCTCTTCATTTCCGTGGCGATACTCTTATATCTGGTTCGGCTGATAAAACATTAAGACAATGGGATTTAGAAAAAGGAAGGTGTGTACAAACATTGGATGTTATGTGGGCAGCAGCACAAGCTTCGGCAACCATGGGTTCTACTGAAGGTACATGGCGACAAACTGGACGTTTACCAGATGCAACAGCGGATTTCGTAGGTGCGGTACAAGTTTTTGATGCGGCACTTGCTTGTGGTACTGCTGATGGAATGGTTCGTTTATGGGATTTGAGAAGTGGTCAGGTGCACAGGAGTTTGGTGGGACATACAGGTCCTGTTACTTGTTTACAATTTGATGATGTTCATTTGGTTACAGGTAGTTTGGATAGGAGTATTAGGGTATGTTATCCGAGTTTCTGTTTTTCTGTTTTATTACTTTATGATATGTTGAGGGGTGTTATTGGTATCACTGACTAACAATCCAACAGATCTGGGATCTCCGAACAGGGGCAATCTATGATGCTTATGCTTATGACTCACCTATCACAAGTATGATGTTTGATACAAGACGTATTGTAGCGGCTGCTGGAGAAGATGTGGTTAAGGTGTATGATAAAACGGATGGTAGACATTGGGATTGTGGTACCGGTGCTGAAAGGGAGGGAGATATGACGGAAGCTGATGAGAAAAATATCGTGGAGAAATGTAGGGTGAAGGATGGCTATATGGTTGAGGGAAGGAGGAGTGGTATAGTGGGGATTTGGAGTTGTTAAACATTTGGGGAGGTGGTTTGATAGATGATACGATGCATGGTTTATTAGAGATTGGGACTCATTACCTTTCTTGATCTTGGCATTAGATTCTGGCAAAGAGGATCGGTGGTTAAAATCAGATTTATGTGTGTATGCATAGATGAATGGATGCATAGGTGTGGATGCATGGGCGTGGATGCATGGGCGTGGATGGTATAGTGGTGTGGATAGTGTGGATGGATGGATTCATAGACCATGCACTATATACATACATACATATGAATGAATGAATGAATGAACGAATCAATATATTTGGAGTGTTATTGTGTGTGGATGTCTATGCTTATATAGGATTTTGGGGACATTTTTTGTACGCTGATTTCTGGGGTTTGATTTTGATTTTGATTTTAAGTTCTGGGGTTATGTAGATTGATTGCTTGATTTATTGTTTGTGTGGATGAATGGGTGGATGGATGGATGGATGGATGATATATAATCCGGGGGGTGTGAAAGGGGAAAGGGGGAAGAGAAGAGGGGAAGAGAAGAGTGGAAGAGAAGAGAAAAGAAAGAAAGTAAAAAAACGCAAAGGCAAAGGCAAAGGTGAATGGGAAAGGGAATGCGAATATAGGCTTAGGGGCTCAAGGGAAGGCGGATGTTTGAGAGGTGATAAGAAGAACGGGGGTAGTTAAAGGGTTTGTGGAGAAGGGATGATGAGATTTAGAGTGGAGGGGGGAAGGGGGATTGGGTGGGAGAGGATGAGAGAGGGTGGGAGAGCCGATAGGATTGGAGTGAGATTGGATTGGGATGGGCAAAATATGGTAGGTTGGATTAGAATGGATAGGAAAGAGAGAGTGGGATTGAGCAGATTGAGATTGAGATAAGATTGGGATGAACCGGTTGGATTTTATAGGAGGGGATCGAATAGAGTGAAGACTAGGATGGGATAGAATGGGTAGGATGGGAGATAATGGGAGATAATGGGAGAGGATAGGAGAGGATAGGAGAAAGGGTTAGGGAGAAAGAATGGGTTAGAATTGAATTGAGATGAAATTGTATTAAAATGAAATTATATTGAACTAAGATGGATTAAAAGGTAATAGGATAGATTGGAATGAGATTGGATTTGAGATTGGATTGGGATGGAGAAAATAGAGTATTACAACTATCTATGTAGGTGAAGAACGTTCATGGTTTCAATGGGTTGAGGTTGGAGGTGCAGGGTGGAGGGAGGAGGTGCAGAGCTTGGGTTTGTAGTGGAGGATGTGGTGGTGAGGTGGAAGTGGAGTGGAAGTAGAGTGGAAAGGGGGAAGTGTGGTGGAGGGAAGGTAGATATGTATATGTCTACACATATTATTGGCAAGGTATGAGATTCAGGGAGAGACAAGAAGTGAGAGAAGGAAGAGGAAGGAAGGAGAAGGGAAGGATGTGAGCGTGTATATGTGTGTGGATTATGGAAATGGAGATTAGTGATAGAGGAGGTTGTGTTTTTCTTAACACGATGATGATGGTATGAGTCTGGATGGGGATGATGGTATAGTGGTATATATACTAAGCAGGAGTAAAAGAATCATCGTATCATAGCCAAGATGCGAGATGCGAGATGCGAGATGTGAGCTGTGAGCTGTGAGCTGTGAGATATGAGCTGTATGGCTGTATGGCCGAGTTAGATTGAGTTGCCGTGGAGTAAATAGGCAGGTATATACCTTGTAATCAAAAAGTGATCAATCCACACAATTGCTTGATGGAAAGTTGTCGAGGGATATAGGAACATATTGGTTGATGAGCTGGGAAGAATATGGGATTTCCTAATGGCTTTTATCATGTGTAAGCTCTGTGTGCTCTTCTAAGAGAGATAGGATGGGGAGATGTGTATGCTGTATATGTGTATATTTACTTTAGGGGATGTGATTGGAGGAGAAAGGGGGAGAAGAGAGTATCAGGTCGTTCGGGAAGAATGCATATAGATGCTTTCGTATGAGTAAGTTCGTATATCTCTGCTAATTCAAGATGGGGAAGAGGTTTGGATTGTCTAAAGACGGGATGAATGTCTATCAGGAGGGCTTGGGTGAATGTCTGGGAGAATTTTGTATCTTGATTTAGTTTTGGGAATGGTCTGGTTACTTGAGATTGTGTGAATTGCTGGGATGCAGTGATACATTGAGATGGACTGAATGCTTGAAATGGATTGAATACTTGAGATGAATTCAATATTTAAGATGGATTGAATGCTTGAAATGGATCAAAGAACTGAAATGAATACTCAATTTGAGATAAGTTGAGTCTTTGTGGTCGGTTGAGTAATTGGAATGGATTCAATTATTGAAATAATCTGGATGAAGAAGGCGGATTAAATATCTGAAATGTATTGAATGATTGAATTGGATTAATAGATTGAGACAAATTGAATCTCTGGAACATATTGAATGTTTGACATGGGCTGAATGATCTTGATGAGTTGAAAGATCCGAATGGTCGAATCTTCCAATGAACACTTACAGTTATGTATACCACTATCGGTTTTACTTGGCTTATTTCCACAAGCTTTCTTTCTGCTCCAGCTTCATCATTGGTAGAAAGCTTCCACAGTTCACAATCTCATCCACAGTTAATGTGGTCATAACGGTCGTTCAATCGTCATCGAAGGTCAAGTACGTGTATTAACGAGATCACAAAACGAAGAATGATTAAAAAGTGCTTGGTATTTCGCTATCACTAAATTAAAATAAGGCTTATAAGCCAGAATGCCTATTGGCAAATGAAAAAAACGTCTATGGACGAAACGCTAAAGACAAAGAACATTTACGTCTATAGACGATGCTTATAAGCAAGATAAAATTTGAACGCTTAAAAGCATATCAAATGTCCCTATAGGGATTCCCCTACTTCTTTATAGCCTGAGTAGCCGCAGCCAAATTCTCACAAGCAGTCATCTTGGCCCTATCCTCCGCCGTCATAACATTGGGGTTGGAAACGGGATGTTTGCCTCTTGGCTTTGATGGGCCAGAAGAATTAGCACCATCATTAGCACGAGGAGGAGGAGCAGAAGGAGGGGTGCAACATTTGTTGGAGCTATTGTTGCTTCTACTGCTTGAGCTGCAGCTTCCCTGGCAGCAAGAAGCTCGTCGCGAAGTTCCTGGGTTGGAGCATACCCTTTGGAACGGGTATCGTGGATGTTCCACATTGAAATCCTTGTTCTTGACGACTGTAGCAAATTTATTAGCTTACACAACGAAATGCATGAACATTGATCGATTTTACTCACAACAATAGCGCCAAACATTGCGCTCGAGAAGATAATTGTACACATCTTGTGCGTTGTTAGGATTTTTGCGCAAGATGCTCTTGTGGATGGTCTTAATAATATAATTAAGATCACTACTGGTCATGGGACCAAAGACGGGCGACAGGCTCCGATTCACAACAAGATCATGAAGTTCCAAGAACTTCGTTGACCCAGCCGTATTGGCCCATGTGGACCACTTGGGTGTTGCCATGTGGCAGAAGGTAATGCCTATAAAGGCGCAAGTAATTGAACGTTTGTTGGCAGAAAAGTGTCTGTTGTTGCTGCTGTTGTGGTGGTGTAGCAGTTGATGATGATGATGTTTTTTGTTGTGTAAATGAAAAGAATCAATATCAACAATCAACATTGAATATCTCAAAAACCTTAGCGAAGTGCGCAAATTTTCAAATCTAACTATGTTAGGGTATTTCATGATAATTACCAAATTAGGAATTAATGAATTTCAAGTACCGAGCCAACATGGTGCTTTCTATATTTCACTTCACAAAAAACCGAGCAATAGAGAAGCTTGAAGTTATAAAAACCAATGAATCATATATTCCTACAGTCCTCAGTCCTTGTATCCTACCTGAGATTGTCTAATATTCTTTGAAAACTTCTATATGTTATCGGTCATGAGGGTCGAAGATTATGTATTGAATCATAGGAGACTGGGACATGATTCGTTTTCTTTCGAAGACTTTCCTTCACGCCATAGAGTTAGATTTGAATTTCATATTGTTAGAACCGGATGTGTATATCGGGCGACAGTCAGTGTTCGAGAGTTGATTGTTGAACATTGAGAAATCATTTTGGACAGTAGTTGGATTGTTGGAATTACCTACAACGGAAACTCAGGGATGATAGAATTCATTTATGGTGAAGTTTCATTTCCTCAGTGTCCATGATGATGACATTGGGAGAAGTGTGAAATGAACATATGGTATAAGGTGTTTTGTGAGAGCGAAACATGTTGACCTGTTCGACATATAGGCCACGAGAGACTCAGGTTTGTTAGCTAGCAATGACCTATTTAGGTGCGCTTCATAACAAGCAAACGCCATCATGTTTTTAGTGAGTTCTTGGTAGAAAAGTAATATGAATGATGAGAAAGAGTCAAGTCTGATGTAATTCTATAACCAAAAATGAAAATTATTCGCTTCCATTGAATCTATTCACATTCTACCTAGGTACTCATTAATATAAGTTTAACATATCAAATTAATGAAAACCACAACCACGCGCAGATCAACTATTCAATTTTCATCAATCATCATATCAAGATGGCATATGCCCATAAGTATTACGAGATGTTTGAACACGATATGTTATTCGATTGTCTGAAAGAGACTCAAACAACAGAGGTTATCATAAGTATTCAGGCTTAGCTGGCTATTCAATGATCAAGTCTAGATCCAATAACGAAGAGTCTCATACATACAGCTCTCAAATCTGCTACACTGTTTATTGCCAAAATTTAGACTCTAAAGTAGAGAAAAACAGTAGGAAGTACTTTAATGCTATTGAGCCTGACAATACTTTGCATTGTCGAATTCATATTCAAGCAATTAAAAGTATCATGAGGCTATAGAGACTCAGAACCTGGCTGCCTATATCTAGAGCCAGATAATGGCGAGTATTGGATTTGATATCTTGGACCATGTTAGTCACTCTATATGCTCTCAATTTAGATTGAGCTTCTCTGTGACTACTCATTATAATACTTGACAGCCAAGAAAGAGACATGGATACTATCCCGGTTTAGAGAAGATACATGTCTCACCGGATACTAACGGATACCACAAAGCTACCCGATTCATGTATCCGAATGTTTTCTCGACTAATTCCCATTCTGATATAGCCGGATGGGTATATGTTTACTAACATTGCTTGAAAGTGAGATCATAACATAGGTTGCGCAACCACACTTGCATTGCACAAATTCTCCTGGGCCGATACCAGCTGCTGTGTTGTATATGTACAATGAAGCCACATCACCAGGGAAGCCACCACCAAAGCTTCTAGAAGGTCATCAACATACATATGGTATGTCACCTGCATAAACCAATCGGTGCTGCCGCTGTGCGACGGCTTGGAACATGTTCAGAAGCCTACTCAATGCCCTTGCAAGTGGATATTTCCCGGTAAGCTTGAAAATCATCAGATGGTAAGAATAGCTTTGATTATGAGGCAATAGTTTACGAGTGATTATGGATGGTAGCCACGATCCTATGGCGTGGTTGAAAATCCGTCTTGCAATTAGCCGAGGAGAAGTTAATCAACTAAGAGAATCTTTCACCGTTCACCGATGAAATTTGGCTGGTATACACTTGATGAATGATGTTGGCCCATAGCAACATCCATAAAGTGCATAGATTAGTGTTGCATTGGGTTGGTGAATAGATTTGTTCTGCGGTGAGCACTTGGCACTTGGCAGATTATTGCACAAATAGTCATCCGATTGTTCATCAACGAAAAGTCAGCTTACTGACATATAAATCTTCGGGAGTCATGTCACCCAAGCTTTAACGAGGCAAAAAGAATGATACCCTTACTTTGGATAAATCCTAGCTACAACGTTACAACGAATGCCAAGATCTTTTTGTCCTACCCCGCCTTCCCTCGGCACTTGAGAAAATATCCCTTGAACTCGTAAGCGATAAATAAGCTTCTAGATCTATGCAAGATTCCCTTCGACGCTAATGCTACTATATTAAGACTTGCATTTACGATAGGGTGTGGGATAATTTTATAGGATGGAACTAATGCTACTCAAAAAATCCTTCAACACCACTGTGGAAGCAATGTGAGACAGCCAGCTCATCAGCAAAGGCGAAACATACTGATGCTAAGCATTCAAGGCAACAAAAGGAGGAGTCTTATTCTCTTCCTCGACGGTTTTAGATACATAGCCTAATTACTACAGAGAATATACGGGCACTTCTCGGAGGCGAATCGAGTTTGTGTAACACAGGAAATAACGAATGACATACACGTCAAGAAACTTAATAGTCAACCATCAATATACTAGTGGTACAGATCAAAGGTTGTATAGAACTATAATGACATTCTTTTGAGGTACTATGAAGTATCAATCTATGCTGTACCGAAAGTCAAGTTAACCCAACGCTTGCTTTGTTTTCCTCGCACAACTACAACATGAAAGTCACCTCTCCAACTCAAATGGTCAGCTAATCTTCTTGAAACCAAAGTACTTAGAATATATGTAGCCACTATAGATCATCAAAATCACAACCTAGATATCAACTTATTCAAATGGCACTTTTAAGATAGAAAAATAGGTTTTAAAGTAGATAGGTATAAATCTCAAATAAGCTAATAGTACACAAAATCCACAAATCTGAAAAGAGAATCTCTACAACCTCATCTCTAAACTCCCCCCACCCAAAAACAACAATCTGCGCGAGCAGGAAGATCTAAGCCGTCTAGAAAGAAAGCAAAGCAAGAAGGTATAATAAAACAACTGCAAAAACCCCTCTCCCCAAAAAACCGAAAATGAAAAAAAAAACAAACACCCCTCAAAGAATCAACGAAAATCCGCCCCATGAATATTGCACAGTAAGAATGAATCCTCCACCATGTCCATTAAACCTCATATCGATATGTATACTCCCACTTAGTAAGAGAAAGGACCAATAAGATTCCCATGCGACTTTCCCTGGCTCGTCAAAATCGCACTAACATTCTTCATCGCACTCTCATGAAACTCCTGGAAATCAAAGTCCACACTGAAACAAGCATAGATATTCCACAACCAACTGCTAGAGCTCGATCCAATAGCATGCACATCCATGATATCCCAAGTTCCTCCAAGAATCCCCGGCGCGCCAGTTGTCAAGTTGAAGTAGAAAGGCGCGTCGGCCATTTGGAATTTCTGGAAAAAGCCAGCATTGTTAGGATAGGGTTTCCATTGTGTGAGTTCTTCGGTGATGGGATAGACGCCTGCGCCGGGAATACCGCCTAAGAGGTTGCGCTTTGCGCCGGTGACGAACCCGGTACCGATGATGGACTCGGGAGCAGTTCCGAACCAGGAGGTTACGAGGAAATCGCCGATGATGGATTTGAGATCAGAAACAGAGGCGGGAATGATGGCAACAGAAGTTGAGACTTGATAGTAGGTCCCTGCTGGGCAGGAGCAAGGTCGAGGAGTTGGTCCACAGACAGGGAGCTTGGGTGGGGAAGGGGTGGGACGAGACTTGGATAAAGAGTCTACGGTGGTCGCAGCTGGTAAAGCTAGGACGGAAGCGATGAGTGGAGCGATTGCGAGGATAGAGAAACGCATTTTGATTGCTTTTTTTGATTGATACTCTAGTGAAGATTGTATGGAAAGGTTTGTAGAAGACTTTTGAAGTGCTGATTGATTGTAGTGAATTCTGCAGGTGATCTGAAGATTGTTCTGGTTGATGAAATTGCTAGTATTGCTTTGTTGTTGTGTTTTTGTGTTGTTGATACTTGAGATGATGATGATGATGATGGTCTTGTTGATGATGATGAAAAGGAATTTGACATCTGGAAATCAAGATCTTCTTATACATTTTCGAGCACAAGAATCCCATAGCCACAAGCTATACCAGTCTTCCCAAACCTCACGATTTCATAGCATTCACTGACGGCTCCGAAAAGTCTTGTCTCAAGCTCAAAGCTCAAAGCTCAAACGGCAGAGAATCCTACAATTAGAACATCGAAGACTGTGCCCCACGTGGATGACAGCGATGTGAGTTGTGGAGTGCATCAAAATAGATCCTACAATTCCAAATCCTTGGTTCAGTATCCCACTTTAGGTTCTTGCTGATAGCAAAGCCACTCTGATAGCAGCTTAACAGGGGCTGAGATCTCGGTTTTCACGTGGATGACTGCATTTCTGATCGTACCTTACAGATATCAACCCTTTCATTCGGTGCTGAATCTGAAATCTAAGAGCCAAGAGCTCAGAAACCCTGAAAGCCATGTGCTAGATGGACTTGTACGTCGTATTCTACTCTAGTAGGCATGGTAGCAAGGCTGAAAACGTGGTTGAGATGCATAGTGAGAATGATCGGATGCTGCATGCAGCATGACTCGGAAATCTATCCGAGACGCAGGCGCTTGGAAGATTGGAAGGATTGAGCCTCAAAGCTAATGGCTCCAATATTACGAGTGACTTTCGTCTAATTGTGAGTCTTGCCAGGGGCTGACATCGCTAGTGCTTCTTCA